TAATAAAATGTGGATATATATTATTATTGCAAAATCAAGAAATTAAATCACATATATTTAAATTAACGATTAAACATTTTCCAAATTGTTATTATTAATAATTAATATTATATCTATATTAGTATTGTTTTGTTCATATTTTTATATTTTGTTGTTTTTTTTACGGTAATTCACCTCTTATATCAATGTCGAACTCATTGATATATAGGAATGTCAGAATGTCGATAGGTAGATTAAAGTTTAATATCTGGTGGTAGTGGATTTGTAAATCTAAGATTTTCATTTGAGAAGAACCCCACGATGTTTTATCATATATATATATATATATATGTATATATATATATTATATGACATTATTCTTTTGATTTTGAGTTTTAAGTTGAATTCCATTTAGTTTTTGAATTTTGAAAAGTGTTATTTTAATTCCTCAAATTTTGAAAATAAATGACATTAACAAGAATTTTATGTTATATTTTACCATGTTGTAGTTTTAAATGGTTCTAAAATAATTATATTAGTGGATTCAACATATTAAATAATGACTTGACAACATGCAGTGACTTGCTCTTTAAAGTAATGTTGTGCCAATATGAGGTAAGCTCAACGGTAATTAGCATATGTTTCTAGTAAAAAAGGTCATGAGTTTGAATCTCCATAACTCTACTTGTTGTACAAGAAGTAATATTGTGATATGCACAAATACYTTTTGACGAATCATATTCTATTTCAAATACTCTTTGTCATCTTAAATGAAGAGGGTTAAAGAGTGTGTATGATCACTTGTAGATTTATCAACTTTGGGTATGGTGACATATAGTAATACTTTGTCCCGAACAAAGGGTCATCTCGAACTAATGGTAGCAATAGAGCTAGTGACAAAGAGGAAGCCGAGATGGGGAAGAGGAGAGAAAATGTAGTGAGCAAGAAGGTGAACAGAAAGTAGTGAAAAAATAAAAGCCAAATAGACAAAATATGATATAAAATTAATATATTACATCATTTAAAATATATATATTGGAGGGTAAAATACGACCTACCACATGACGCGCTACAAAAGATCATCACACATGATATATTCTCTAACTATAGAAATTAATTGTTGCATCTAAGCTAATGAGCTCTGCCAAATTACAACTCAAAATTTCACTAGTGATATGTGTCTAGGCAATATGATTTTTTTCATTATGAGAGCTTTAAGCCAGATTCTTACTAATTTGAGGTGTTTGTTATCTTTGTGCAAGTCTTTCCTCATAAAGATCATTTGAAATAGCTCGATCAATCCTCAATTAGCTTAGTATTAGTAATGACTTCAAGAATTATCTAAAACCATCGAGAATTAAAGTACCACATTTCAAACTTTTAAGACTAAGCCAACATGAGTTTAACTAAGATGAACAATTAATATATCATGAATTTGAATCTTCACCTCCACATATATGGTTTAAAAGACTAAAAACAATCTAACTGCACCAAAAATATAACTCAACTAAAATRTTATAAATAAAAATATCGCTTGATAAGCATTTCGTTTTTAATGATTTATTTTTTAAAATTATGCTTATTCTTTATATAATTTTATTAGTAAAATTTTCACCTGTATAGAAAGCATATTTAAATTATTAGCCAAATTTCAAAAATAAAAACTACTACTTTTTTWAAAAAAAAAAATTGGCATAGATTTTAAAAATGTTTATAAACACTATATAACAAATCTGCATAAGAGTAATGTTTCTTGCAAGAGTAATGTTTCTAAATACTAAACAAAATTACAAAGATTCTCAACAATTTTCATATTATAAGATCATTTCATAACTTCATTAATACCTTATCAAATAAATCTCTCATATCATCCATTGACCTCCATATCCTCAATGCCAAAGCAAGCCACTAATAAATTAACAAATAGACTCCGTCTTCTGGTTATCATAACACCACCTAGTGAAAGACCCACATAAGTAAAAAAATCCTCTATCATTCCATGTAAAAGGAAAAATAAAAGAATCAAGTTAGTAGGTTCCTTTGATAGCCAAACACTAAAATGAGTTTCAAACCCATTGTTCTTATCGATCACTGCATACCAATCTGTTGATATATTGGAACCGCCATGAGATCAAAATTTTCCCTAGTATTTACTCATCATCCCATGTTGATGCTCCACCCATTCCGATTTCAACTACTGGGGGTAACTGTAACCTTGCACTTCTGCTGTGGCTTTTCTTAGACTCCTTTCTGTTGGCTGCAAATGACACCAAGTTAGCCACTGAATTCGTGTCCTCTACTGCTTTCTCAGTGACCTTTCCGTGACCAGAGTCCATGTCTTCGACGCTATCACCTCCAAAAAGCTGTTCGAATGGTGCTTCGGTGTCGTCAATAACATCAACCTGCCCTTCCCCGCCCTTCTTTGTTTTCTTCTTCTGCTTTTCAACCTTGGTATGCAGCGAAGATGGTTCGCTATCAGTTTTTGCCCTTTTCTGCTTCGAACTCTTTTTATCTTTTGCAGTATCACCTGTTGGGTTCAGTTTGCCGTGATCTCTCTTATCATCAAGAGATGAAATTTCTTTCTTCTCCTGGGTGAACTTGTCCATCTTGCGTTTTTTGTGCTTCAACTCCTTTTCCATGTCAATATCATCAGCATGATCGAGCTCACCATCACTGCCTTGACTAAACAAATCCATCTGGGTATCCATTTTCAGTTTGCCATCTTTTTTCTCTTTTTTAAGCTCTGGCTTCTTGACCGAAGTATCATCATCTTTATCACTCCTCTTGTCCTTCTCATTCTGGATGTATTTATCAATTGGTCTGGCATTCAATACCCGCAAGCCCGGCAGTAATCTACGAATCTGCAGTTTCACTCTTCAGAAAAAAAGTTTTGGAGGAATACATTGATTTGAAATGGGTAGAAGATTTGTAGAGAGAGAGAGACCTTTTTATCTAATTTAGCACTTTCAGCAATAGGATTCCCTTGAAGATTAAGGTTTCTCAGATTACCTAATGAACTCAACACCTAGAGTAGTACAAACAGTGATTTCATGAAAAAGAGAAGGTTAAATTGGAGAATGTGTTGAAGTTTTAAATATTAAAGAAAAGGTAAGATAGAATTTAGCTTACCTTCAGATCTGACCATCTCATTAGGACATTATTTCCCAAATCCAAATTTAGCAATTTCTTGTTATGAGCCAAATCATGGGGGAGCATCTGGATAGAGGGAAGAGTACACTCGGGAATGAGTACAGAACAGGTGCCCAATAAGGAAGAAGAATAAAGATGTTATCTCATCATTAAATAGTTATAAAAATTGAATTCCGTGCAATTTCATTTGAGTAATAAGTAAGCTCTTGAGAGATCTGCGTAAGATAAAGCAAACTAATCCAAACAGCACGTACCTTGATTTCATTGTGAGCAAGTCGAAGTTCTTTCAATTCAGTGCAAGACTTGAGGGAAGAATCAATAGATTGAAGTTTGCAATTAGAAAAAGATAACTGAAAAAAGGATAAATAGATCAGTAAAGATCCTTCTTCTTCACATTCAAGTAAAACTAATCTTCAAACAACCACCATCATAATAACAAATTGATACCTACCTTTTTCATTGATTTCACCTTGAATAGAGAATCACCAATACTATGGATTGGATTTCTTGAAAGAACTGCAGAATAATTCAAAAGGTTAAAATAAAATCTTGGTTTGTGTTTCTAATGAGCAATAAACTCCTGAATATGCAAGACAGATCTGAATACATGAAAAAGTTTCTTCTTATTTTTTTAATGACTGGGGCATCGAAGATCTCACCATTTGCATTACGTTTATAGACTGCCCCACTAGTGTTTGAGGGTTCGCCCACCCAAGGCCAACATTGGAAGACAACAAAGTTTTAAGTTATTCAGTTTTCAAAGAATTGATGCATGGTTCATTGGCTTGTAAGTTTTCAAAGGGTTGAACCCAGAACCTTGAAGGGTATCTCGAAATGTCCCAAGACCTTACTACTAAGACACCACTCAGAGGTGCTCTCCCAATACTTATTCGATAAACAAGACTTKATAAGATTTTGAATATGCCAATTACCAGCAAAGCATTAAACGCAGAGATCAAAACTCATACCAAGAGTATTCAGGTTCTTCATCTGGTCAAGCTTGCAAATAGAAGAAATCTCATTGTCTGTAAAGCCCCAAAATGGAAGAATGTGATTGATAATAATCATTACCAACATAAAAGCCCAATGCAGAAGTTTTATATGTTAAGCTACAACAATGTTTACCATTCAAAATCAAAGCACATAAGCCAATGAGGGGTCTAATTTCATCCATTGATTGAAGCTTGTTCTTTCCCACATTTAATACCTGATTAAAGCAACTCAAAATCAAATGCATAGCATCTATATCCATATATTTCCTGAATAAGATAATGTTAATCAATGCAAATCAAGTAGCATTTATACACAAATTTGTGCACACAACAAACTCATAGATTACAAAATAGAAAACCATACAATTAGAACATACTAATTAACGGTGTATAAAGAGAAATAAAATTGAAAACAAAAAACAAAAAAATTGTGCATAAATCCAAGGAGGCTTTGCCAAATGAAGTTCGACCCCATGAAACAACAGAAGTTTTAAATTAGGCACAGGTGGTTGGAGGATATCTCCAAACATCCCAATCCCAATTCCAATCCCAAACCCTTGGGGTGAAAATTGTTTATACAACAAATTTTAATGTTAAAAAGTAAGGCATTGAGATTGACAAAAACCAAAAACAAAAGGGAGGATGAGACTGGTACTTACAGTTAGTTTAGAAAGTCCCTCAATTCCTTTCAAGCTTTCAAGTTTATTTTGCACAACACAGAGCCACTTCAAATTAGTGCAGCACTTCAACCCCTTCAATTAAACGTCCAGACTCAGAGTATTAACGCATTCGCAAACGAGTTATCCTATGATATATTCAAACGCGTACATACCTCAAGCGATGTGAGATTGTTGAACGTCAGATCGAGCTTCTCCAAGTTTTTGAAAACGAACAAACCATCTACCTGCAAGGAAACGAACACAATAGAACTTAATGAAATGGAGGAGCAGAGAGAAACAAAGGGAGGGGAGTGTCGTACATCGGAAAGAGCCTTGTGATTGAGCTTGAGAGTAGCGATGGCGAGCGGGTCTTGGGTGTTGTTATCCTCGAGGAGCTGCTCTGTGTTCAAGCGAGTCATGGTAACGAGTTTGAGGGAAGAAACCCTAGGAGTTGCTCTGCATTCTGCAGGGAAACTGCACCTTCAAACTGCACCTCTTTTTTCTTCTTGTCCGATGGATTATTCAGTTTTTTCTTTCTTTTTTTCAGTAAATAAAAATTTCAGTTTCATCTGATTGAAAATTTTTCAGTACAACAAATAAATATTGTAATTTTTTACCTTCAAATGTTATTTTTAAAAAATTTTCTTATGAACACCTGATGAATTATAAGGTAACGTCTAATACGAAATTGATTAGAATTYAGAAAATGAAAAAATTGCATTTTATTGGAATTTGTATGTTTTATTGAACTATAGTTTTATTGAAATTTGTATGTTTTTATCAATATATTATCTCTTTAACAAATTAAACTATATTCAAATATGTTTGTATAAAAAGCATATYGACATATCTTASTTTTTTAAAAAATAAGGAGTTATATTGTATATTATATTTAAATATTGTACATCAATATCAGTCCAAGTATAGTGCGGTAGATAAATATATATGTTTGAAAAGATACCAACACACAGAGAGACCTACAAAATAGAGTTAACACTCCAATACTTAAGTTAGTACGTATTCGACCTATACTTGAGAGATAATATAGCTTCGCTACCTTGCAYAAGAGGCAAGGATATTGGTGAGCTCCCAACCATGCTCCACCTGCTCTCCAACCACCCAAGAATCATGGTGTTTTGTATAAGATTCTATTTGGTGCTTGTATTTGTAGGTGGTCTTCAAGGTCACTTTGTTTTTTGAAAAGGTCGATCAAGATGTAAAATATAGCTAGACTCGAAACATAATGATGAATTGCTCAAGTCTTCTGCATTTGAATGGGTGAGGGACCTTTAATGTTGATACTTGGCGGACATAATTGGTCGATTTTTGAGCTGAATAAGACTTTTCCCAAGGCAGTATTAATTTTTACCTATTTTTTTTTAACTCGTGTTTTCTAATACATTACACTGAATACCAAATGAACTCCACTATCTCTCTACTAATTTTTTTTAGATTTGTCCCCCTTATTTGAAAATATTGTATTTTCTCTCTGCTTTTTTTCTTTCTATCCTCTCTCTCTTATCTTTTTGTTTATGTTCCATCTCTTCCCCTCTTTCACCCAATTTTTTCTCTCTTCCTCCCATGGTTCTTTATTCCCCCTTCCTTTTTTTTGTTTCTACTCTTACATCTCTTTTCTCTCTCAAACACCTATTTTACAATCACCCCACCATCTCCCTTCTTTTCTTCTTCTTTTTTTCGTTTGGGTTATATAGTTTCAAATCTTCCGAATCTCGCTTCAGTGCTAGCGCCTATCCTGCTTAAATTTATTTGGTTGGTGCTCTCTCTCTCTTCTATCACACTTTCGGTCTCTCTCTCTTCACTCTCGCGGTCTCTCTCTCTCCCTCTTGATGTCTCCAAGGTTTTTTTTAATTAAATTTTAAATTTGATACTTTCATTAGATTAAATTTTAAATTAGGAATTGAACGAGGGGAAAGTAAAATTGGAGGAGTTAAATTTGAAATCCAATCATAATCAAAATTACTAGAGCAGATTTCGGGTAACAAAGAATTAAATTTCAAATTTGAATACCAATATCATTCCTTGCTAAAATTAAGGAGATTGAAGAGAGATTGAGATTTCTCTCCATTCCAATTTCCAAAGTTTTAATTAAAAAAAAAATTAATGATTATTTGTTAATCATTTTGATTTTGAATTTAACCAAATTATTTTGAAATTTATTTATTTGTTCAATTCTGATTGATTTAATATTCTTTATGATTTCATTTAAATTAATCAAAATTTATTATTATTATTATTATTATTATTATTATAATAGATAAACAACATTTTATTTTAATACATTTGAAATTATTGACTTTATAAATTTGTTTAATGTTTAAATTAATAATGGCTTGTAAGTAAATGTCTTTCTCGCTCTCCCTCTTATCTCGGCCTCTTTCTCGCTCTCCTCCTCTCTCTCTCACTCGATCTCTTACTCTCTCTCAACTTCCTCCTCCCCATAGCTTTCTTTTATAGCGAATGACCTCCCTCGTCGGCTTTGATGCACGCGTCGCTAGGGATTGCTGAAGGTCACCAGAACTATGGAGGTTACTGGTTATAGAAAATAAAAAAAGTGGTGGGGTGGGTGATGGAGGATAAAGATGAGAGATTTATGGTTTTTTTTAGTAAATTGTTTTCTATGGTGAGTAAAGAAGAAATATAGTAATATTAATTAGAGAAAAAAGAGAAGAAGGAAAAGAGAAATCTCAATAAAATTTTAGAGAGGATGAAAGAAAAAGATCCATAGTCGTGGAAGAGAGAAGAAAATAAGACAAAACAAAGAAAATATAGGTTAATGGAAAATATAGAGACAGAAAAAATTATGGAAGGAAAGAAAGAGGGAGATAGAGGGGAGAGACAAGTGAGGGAAATCTAAAATATTAGTGGGGGATGATAAGAGTCATTTGGTATACATACGATTTCATCCAAATATTAAAAAAAAAGGTAAAAATCAATCTTGCCTTAGAAAAATGGCTAGCCAACCTAAAAACTCTAATTCACCCCATAAAAGAGTTGTTATTATTGTTGTTATTATTATTATTATTATTAGGAAAAAAGGACTCCAATAAAACTTAAACAGAATCAGAGTACACATGCTTCTTGACGAAGCCAATCTGGAGACCAATAAGCAAAAATCTCATAATGAAGGGCGACGGACGCCGTCCTATGAGCGGCCCTGTTCGTGAGCGCCGCACGTGGATTAACTTGAAATTAGGGAAATTCTTCACCAAATTCCAAATATCCTTCATTCAAACATTGGAATCAGTTTGAAGTTTAGAGCCTCCAAGAATCAGATTAACCAGTTGGAGGGAATCAGACTCAAGCTGCACCAATTGGAAATTCAACCACGTCGCCAGACGGACACCTTCAAGCAAAGCCAAAGACTCGTCCATCAAAGGATCGTGGTAAGCATCTACCCTTCGAGAAACAGCTGCAATAATTTGATCCCTTTCATCTATGGTAACAACATCAATACCAATTCTAAACAAAGTTTCCTGACATGCAGCATCCACATTGATCTTTACCCATCAGCCGAGGGAGGAGACCAAACAGACGGAGACTCTCGATCAGTGCTGACTTGAGGCGAATAGGAAGAAATCAATCCACAGTATAGATTGTTACTTTCCTTGAAATCCTTCACAAATGTCATAATCGATTCGCATTTGCTCTTAACATCTGAGACAAATTTGTTAAATCTAACCGCGTTCCTATCATTCCAAATACCCCAAGCTCCAACACCAACCAATTCAAATTCCACCTCAGAAAGTTGCTCCATCAGATACATCAACCTTCCTTGGACTGACTGATTGAAATCTTGATGAGAAATAGCTTGAGGTAATAGTAAACTGATCTATACTTCTCTCGCTCTTTTACAATAAAAAAGAATATGATATGTTGTTTCAACCTGCTTTCCACACACTTGACATTTCGGTCTCACGTCCACCCCTTTCTTCAATAGATTTCCCATTGTAGGAATACAATCACTAAAGACCCTCCAGATAAAGATCTTAATTTTGGGATGAATTTTTAACTTCCGACGGAATTTCCACCATGTTTCGCTCCTTTTGTTGCTTGCAGATGCATTCCCAAATCTTGTATTCATTGCTAGCTTATACCCACTCTTAACAGAGTATGTGCCATACCTGTCAAAGTGCCACACCCACGAATCTGGTTCATTAGTCAAACTAATTGGAATAGAAAGAATAGCTTGCAGGTCTTCATTATTCACCAAACCTCTTAGTTTCCCTACGTCTCATTGCTTTGATGGAGTTATAAAATTTGAAACTAGATATTCATCTTCATCAAAGTAAGAGGATAGGATTTTGAATGTGCTCTCACGAGGGATCCACCTATCTTTGAAGAAAGCAGTGGACTGACTGTTGCCTATCTAGATTTGAAGACCTTGGACAAGAAGAGCTCGACCCCAAACCAAACCTTTCCAAAGATACGACGAGGAGGCACTAGCGCTAGCATCTAAAATATCAGAGTCATGAAAATGAGAACCTTTAATAGTCTTGAGACCAAGAGGTTAAGAAATTTGAACAAATGCCACACTTGCTTTGCCAACAGCGCCTGATTAAAACTCTCAAGATCTCGGAAGTTTAGCCCCCCATTTTCCTTTGGCATGCACAACTTCTCCCAACTTCTCCAATGAATCTTCCGCGAATCATCCATAGTACCCCACCAGAACCTTGCAAAGGACTTTGTAATATCTTTACAAAAGTTCTTGGAAAGTTTAAAGCAGCTCATAGCATAGGTCGGGATCGTCCGGGCAACACTTTTGATCAAAACCTCTTTTTCCCTGGCCGAAAACAAATTACCTCTCCATTCTTGGATCATCTTCCCTACCCTTTCTTTGATCAAACTAAAATCTTCGCCCCCCCCCTCGAGAAAAGCAAGAAGGAAGGCTGAGATAAGTCCCAAGATTATCCACCACCTGAACCCCCAAAATCTGTTGTAGGTAGAACCTGCATTCTGATCGAACACAAGGGGAAAAACACAGCCGATTTATTGCAGTTAATCTTTTGCCCCGAAGCAGCTTCATAAAGGTCAAAAACCCGCCTAATCTGAGCACACTAAAAAGCATTTGCTTTAAAGAAAACCAGACTATCATATGCAAAGAAGATATGAGAAATACTTGGGCATCTCAAGTTAATGCATAAACCTGATATAAGGCCTTTGTTGTGAGACTCTTGAATGAGAGCACAGAAACCTTCTGAGCAAATTAAGAAGAAATAGGGAGAAAGTGGGTTACCTTGCATGAGCCCTCCGGTCGGAATCATTTGGCCCTTCGCTCCCCCATTAATCAGATTTGAAAACTTCACAGTAGAGACAATCCATTATAAGTTCCGCCCACAACGCATCAAACCCAAGCTTTAGCATCATAGACTTCAGGAACATCCACTCTACCCGATCGTAAGCTTTACTCAACTTCAGATCAGCATAGCCAGATCTTCCATGTTTCATACTACGAAGATGATGAATACACTCATGATCAATCATCACATTGTCAGTAATAGCCCTCCCAAGCACAAAGGCAGATTGATTCTCAGAAATAATATCTCATAAAACACCTTTCAGTCGATTCGCAAGCACTTTAGCCACAATCTTATAAGAGACATTAATAGACTAATAGGGCGAAAGTTGGGTTCAGTTTTTTTGGAATAAGAACAATATTGGTAGAATTCCAATCAGCTACCGATTTTTTATGGTTCAAAATTTCCAGACAGTTATCAATAGTTTTATTGCCAACAATATCCCAGTAATTCTGGAAGAAAAAGGCTGAAAACCATCTGGACTCGGAGTTTTAGAAGGATGCATCATCTTGATAGCCTTAATTATCTCCATTCTACTGACAGGAGCAGCAAGGAGAAAATTCATTGCTGTGGTAACCTTTGAAGTAATACATTGAAGAGTAGGGTTCATTTTGTGCATAGAAGGCTGGGAAGACGTGAAAATAGCCTGAAAGTAATCAATGAAAGCGTTTGCAATGTCATTCTCCTTTGATAACCAACTTCCATCATTACTCAAAACACCCTGAATCTTGTTTTTCTTCCTCAAAACACCCTCCAAGAATTCCTCTGTCGCCATTACACCAACGTAGCAATCTTGACCACCCTATTAAGACGATCGGAAATCTATCGATTACGGATGGAACAGTCCAAGACTGAAGAAACTCTCCTGCACAAGCATTCCAGAGATATGACAGAGTTATTATTATTATTATTATTATTATTGTTGTTGTTATTGTTATTATTATAATTTTAATACAAAAAGAGTTATTATGTTTAGACTAAAAATAGTTATTATGAAAACTAATATAAATCTTATACTATCGTTACAAATTTAATAACTCTCATTGGTAATAACTTTGTATTGATGTAAATTTCAAATTTGTTTCGGGGATAAAGTGAATTAAGTAAGAATACATATAAATTTTTTTATTATTATTATTTCGTTGTATGATGCAATATCAATGTTATTTTTTTTATAATAAAGATAATTATTTTGCTGAACTGAGTTTAGAAAATATATGTTCAAATTTTACCATCATATTTATTTTATCTTAATTCTATTTTCAGTGATTTTATTTTAAATATTAGATTATTTTTTCTATAAAGACTATCTTAATCATGATAATTATTTTTTTATAAATTATTTAATTGAAGTTCAAGTCTAGACATATTTCAAGATGAAAAATATTCAATATTAACATAGTAACAAAGGTTTGAAATATCCTCTTAATTTTATGGAATATATCTATAAAATGTTGATGTCAATGAATCTTTCTAAAAAACTATTTAAATACCAGACATATCAATGAAAATTTAGCACTAATTACCATTACCTTGGATCTCTCGCCCCACTAAAAAAAATTGATATTTGACAAACAATTGCGTTTACTTTATCCTCCAAGCTACTGACTCTTTTTCTCCCTTTAGCAACGTGCTACAAGTTTCTTCCTTTCCCTCTTAAACTAAAGTTTCAAGTTTCTAACTACAACTACCAATAGTCTCCACAAGAACAAATCCCATCCTTCAAATGATGAAACCGATGCCCGTCTCGCACAACAAGTTTCCTCATGGCAACAAGAGAAATCAGTTTCATCACCCGGTGACAATCGTCACAAACTCGAAGGTTTTTCATCACATGGATCGGCATCCAACCAGGCAAGCTAATCAAACCAAAAGCAATAGCAAGTTTCTCGCTGTGATAGCCAACCGAACTCGACATATCGACATAGCCGTAAGCATCTTCAATCTTCTTAACAATGTCTTCCAATGCCTTGTAAATGTCCTTGGTCTGTGGATGGTTTGTGTCATTGACTGTGAAGACATGAACCCTGTTGCTGACCTCTATCCAGCTACAACCAGGATCTTTCTGTACTCCTTTCTCTTTCATCGCTTGTCTCACATCAGAAACAGATTTCAATCTCCCATAATTGGAGTAGACATTAGCTAGCAAAATGTAACTTCCAGAGCTTTCTACATTCAGTTCTAGCAAGTTCTTCATCGCCAGCTCTGCCATTTCGGTGTCGTGGTGGATCCTGCAAGCGCTGAGCAGAGCGCTCCATATGGCAGCATTTGGCTTAAACGGCATTTGATCAATCAAATCCATGGACTGCTTTAGTAACCCGGCTCGACCGAACAAATCTACCATACACGCAAAATGCTCGGAAGTCGGAGAGATGCCAAAATCTTCAGTCATGGAGTTGAAGTAATGCTTTCCTTCTTTTACAAGCCCTGAATGGCTGCAGCCTGAGAGAATCGCTACGTAGGTTATATGATCAGGTTTGCAGCCAACCACCAACATGTTCTGAAAAACTTCAATCACCTTCCTGCCTTGTCCATTTTGAGCATATCCTCCCATTATTGAGTTCCAAGAAATCAAGTTTTTCTCCTGTATCGAGTCAAAAATGTTCTGTGCTTCTTCAATTTTTCCACATCTAGAATACAAGGTAATTGCACTGTTAGCAACTGAGACATCAGAGCCAAGCCCTGCCTTTTTTGCTTGGGATACTATTTGTGTTCCAAGCTTTAACGTTGCCAACTCAGAACAAGCACTGATTGTGGTAGCAAATGTGATCCAATCGGGCCTAACTTCTTGCCTTAGCATAAGAATGTACAATTTTAAACCTTCTTCCCAAAAACCATTTTGAAAACACGCGCCTAACATTGAATTCCAACTTATCACATTACGCTCTGGCATTCGGTCGAAATAATCCCGTGCTTTTTCTACATCCCCACTGTGAGTGAACATAGTGATCATTGCTGTCCACGAAACAATATCTCGAGCGGGCATTGTTTCGAAAGCAAGACTTCCCTTTTCTATATTTCCACATTTTGCATACATTGTCACGGTAGCATTGCCTACAGGCACAGATGAATCCATCCCAGTCTTCACCGTAAATCCATGTAGCTGCTCCCCAATTGAAATATTTTCTTCTCCTTCACATACACCAAGAATGGTTGCAAGAGTAAATTCATCCATGGCAACACAAGCTTCTCTCATCCTGTAAAAAAGATCAAAAACTTCTTCTCGACTCCCAAATTGTGCAATTCCACTAATTAGTGAAGTCCACGTTACTACATTGCGTTCAGTTAATGAGTTAAATACCCTTCTTGAAGCTTCAACGAGTCCACATTTTGCATACATATCGACCAGTCCATTGCCCACCAAAACATCAAGAAAGGGTTCGTTGCGGACGATCCGGGCATGCAAATGTTTACCCCATTGAAGATCATAAACATTGGCACATGCACTAAGAACACTTGCATATGTAATTGAATTTGGCTGACAATCTTGAATCCACATCTCGACAAACATACCGAGGCTTTGCGTGTGCAGACCATGTTGAGAAAATGCTGAAATGATCATGCTCCAAGAGACGGAATCGTGTTCCGGCATTTGTATGAAAGTGTCAAGCGCTTGTCCTATCCCATAGGATTTAGAGTAACCATAGATCATACTATTCCAGCTAAATAAGCTTGGTTTTTCAATCCTCATAAAGACTTCCTCAGCAGCATAAACAGCACCGCACTTCACGTACATATCAATGACAGAATTTCGGATGGCTTCATCATTTCTAAACCCATATTTCTCCACGAGACCATGCAACTGAAGAGCTATTCTTACATAACCAAGGCTACTGCAAGCCTTCATCGCACAGGAGAAACAAAACAAATCAGGAACACAATCTGAATCCCGAACCATCGAAATGAAAAGCTTAATAGTATCCGCCACCCGACCGTTACGAAAATAGCCCGACATCATTGCAGTCCAAGAAACAGGGTCTCTCAGAGGCATTTCATCAAACACCTTCTTCGCTGCACTGAGTCGACCCGAATCCAACAACCCACTAAGAATCGTATTCCAAGTAATAACATTACGTTGCTCAGTGCCTAAGAAAATCTGAATAGCCTCGTCTATTAACTCGCATTTTGAGTACATGTGTAAGAGATGGTTTTGGAGAAAAATGGAGGAGCACAAACCAGCGGAGATCAGCTGAGCATGGAGCTTTAATGCGATGGGTACCGACCCAATAAGCGCACAGGATTTCATGGCTTCGTAGAATTTTTGGGAGAGCTCCATGTAAGAAAGCTGAGCAGAGGGATCGAGGCCGAGATTGAACTTTCCGCAGAGGAAATGTTCCTGAGTTGAAAAATGGCGAACTTGAAGAGAGAGTCCATGGGAAAGCCTGAGGGAGAACGTGGAAATCATCTGGGGTTGGGAAAGCCATGTGACCTTGAGGCATTTGTATCTGAGCATTACAGAAAAAACCACCCTGACATCGCTTCGATAGGATGAAGAACAGTCGTTGCATATAACTTTGGCGGTTCTTTCTTTCCGGAGACAGTACAATTATGTGACTTGATAAAATCTTGAATATGCCAACTACCAGCAAAGCATTAAACGCAGAGATCAAAACTCATACCAAGCGTATTCAGGTTCTTCATCTGGTCAAGCTTGCAAATAGAAGCAATCTCATTGTCTGTAAAGCCCCAAAATGGAAGAATACGATTGATAATGATCATTACCAACATAAAAGCCCGATGCATAAGATTTATATGTCAAGCTACAACAATGCTTACCATCCAAGCCCGTCACTCCTCCTGCTATGCAAGCTGATCTTATCAACTCTAATCATGAAAAATCCTATTAATCTTAGGCTGAAGCAAGACTCCTGGGGCTGGCACCGCTATGATAGCAGAGGACAGTACAGAGTCAGAAGTGGGTATAAGCTATATATGAATAATCTAAGGTTCATAACAACATCCCCAAGCAACAACAGCAATAATCTCGTTTGGAAGAATCTATGGAAGCTAAAAATCCCTCACAAGACTGTATACCATGCACCATGCTTTATTTGGTTGTTCTAGAGCAAAGAAAATTTGTAAGGGGATTTTACAAATGTCCAATGTAGTTACCCTGTTCTGTGCCAAGACTGGTTCCAATGTCCAATGTAGTGAGGCTGTGGTTGGAGCTCATGAAGAAATTTTAAGGCATGTGGTTGAGAAATTTGAATATATGACCCCTCCGATTTTGGATTTATAACCTAAAGTCTCATTTGGGATCCCGCCTCTCTTTATATAACTTCGTGAATTTTCTATCTTTGAAAAGGATGAAAATACCTCCTAGGTTAATCCATTTATGATATATATTTAATTTTCACCTACTTATTCCACCAAATTCTAAACTCATGTTTGGTTTGGACTCCAAAACAAACAAACTATAAATATTGTTGTCTACGTATTTGATTATTGTCCCGACACTATCCAAAATCATTGTCTCCATATTTTCACTTTTGAAAATGCTGGAATGGAGTTCTTAGAGAAAAAAAACGTGGTTCAGATCATTGTCCCGGATTAATATCTGATCTGGGATTGAATAATTCAATCCCCGAACCATCTTGGTTCGGGATGAAGCAAAATTTTTATTTTATTTTATTATTTTTTTTGTTAACCATTTTCTTATCTCACCTAGTTTTATTCGATTTGCAGGATTGAGTACATGATTGAATCTGGAAAACGATTTTTCTATTTTCGATATCTGGAACCCTACAATCTACCATAAAACAAATTGGCGGCTTTAGATAGCACTGAAAATGGAAATCTAACTCTAAGTAACGAAAATTTTCGAAGATTCGAGCCAATAACCTCGCTTCCTCCGAGATCCAAGACAACGATGATGTTGGTTGGTGATGGTGGATGCAAAACGTTGGAACAGATGGAATAAAATGTTYATTGTGAATGGAGGGAGACGAAGGGTCCAAGAACAGGGAGGGAACGAAAAGAGACGAATGATCCGAGGATATAGGTTTAGGATTTTACTTTTGGGAATGTAGGGAGAGGAAGGATCCGACAATCAAAAGGGAAATATGCAGAATTTGAAACATGAGGGTAATAGTGTAATTTGACTTCTGCAAATTTTGAAAAGGATCATAAATAAACGTGACTGGAGTTACAAAGTAAATTTTTTCGAAAGGAGTCATACCTCCGATTTCAATTATGGGAGGAGTAATATATTCAAATTTCCCCATGTGGCGACGGTGATTTCCTGCTGTTGAAGAGAGAGGTGGGAATTTTAAAGAGTTTTTATGAAGTCTTTTTTATGTGGTTTCAAAAAAAAAAAAAAAGTGAAATTTAAAAAAATGATAAATGTTTATAATTAATTATCAAAAATACTTTTCAAGAGTTATATGTTTCAGAGAGATATTTTAGTCCTCGCCTCAATGCAGAGCACGATTGAAGCTCGGATAAGCCATGGAAACTCTTTCTATGGTTACATGCTTTACCAGCAAGAAAACTCCATCTTCTACCAGATTCGTATCTCGCAGAGCTACTCCATTACCCCATTTTCAGAAATCAAAGCTCCATTTGCCACTCCTGCGAACAAGAATTCGCGCAGGTCAGTTTTCCCGTCCTTCTTTTCACATTGTAAGCTTGGTTTCCAGTGGAGCTGAGATAAGCTTGGTAAGGTGAATTTTGCGTTTCCATATTGCTCAAGCATCAAATTTAGGAGGCTTTTTTTCTGAATTTTTGGTTTGGTGATTGGATATTCTCTCAATTTTGTCTAATTAGAAGACTGTTCGTTTAATTCAACTGGACGGAGACTGTAATGGTGGAAATTTAGGAAGTTTTGTGCCACGAGGATGCAAAATGCAAATTGACACTGAAATTCAACAGTGTTTATGACTGAAAAATGAACACTATATTCTGCTTAACTTGGTAAACGATGGAGTTAGGGAATGGGCAGCCTTATTTGCCTCTTGTAACTCAGTTTGTGTTGACCTTAACTTCAAGAACTCTAGGATGTGAAAACTTGATTACTCTGGTCCTTTCTCATGCAAACCTTTATTTGAATTGTTGGCGTATTCCAAGCTGACCCTTCGCAAGAAAATTGAAAATTACTGCGTAAAGCCAAAGTTCCTATTCCTTAGAAAATCCAATTTTCATGTGGTCCTTCTCCTTGGAAGAATCAAGGCCCAAGACAGACGACATGCACTATGCGATCCTAGGATGGTTCATGATTTTGTCCAAGAATGAGAGACCAACTAGAAGTGGAGCTTTGATAATTCAAGTGTTTTCTCCCGATATCTTCCCTCTCYATAGAGACCTGGAGTGATACATACCCAAGAAAGAAAATTTCTTCTTTGTACAACCAACGATGTTGTACAAAGAAGATACATCATCATGACACTCTCTCCCTCTCGCTGCATTCTCTGCAAATATAGTGCAGTTCAGCTTCTTGGAGACTCTTTTTACGTCCTTTAACTGGCATTTGGCTGTTGGCTCCACCAAGGAATGTCAAAGACTTTTTGGAGGTTTTCTTTCTTGGACATCCCTTTTGAAAGGAGAAGAAAACCGAATGGGTACAACTAATTAGTCCTTCTTTTGGAACCTTTAATTACAGAAGAACAATAGAACTTTCAATTATAATTGAGAAAGTATAGATTACTTCCTTCACAATGTGTGTGTGTGTGTGTGTTTCCTCTTGTAGGCCTCTCATGGTGTAAAATGTATCCCTCTTTCAATAGCATTTCAATCTTTTCACCAATTGGAATAGCTTTTTGTAATCTTTGAAATTTACAATGACTTGTTTCCTCTTCTTTTAATCTTGTACTGTTGACATAATGCTTGAATTTTTCCTTGCATTTCCATAGTAGTCGCTTTTCTATGAGTAAATATTTTTTAGAGCTTATTTCAGTGCTTTTATTGGAAGCGTGTAATGGACACTGACAAATTGAGAGTCAAGACTTATTTGAGAACACTTGTATTGAAAATTCTTCACAGAATACAAACTTGGCTTACCAACTCTCTCAAACTCTCTTTATTTTCTTCTCACACGCTTGCTTGAAACACATCAAAGTTCATCCTATTTATAGGACTCCTGGGAAGAATCTAGATCCCATATCAAATACCATCCTATGAAACTATACATACATGAATTCACAATTAATTCATCTAAATTCACGAACATTTAATTAAATACTAGTTCATGTACATGTATAATGTATCTTGGATAATTAACATGTTTAATTTTCAACAGCTTTCAACTTTAAGTTGACTAACTAGGGCTCACATAGTTTCTTGTTTTTCAGCAAGTGAAATTACCGATGAGGATGTTCTACAAGCATTCATCAAGGAACGAAAACTAAATGGGGATTTTATATCAAAAACTTCTGATATGCTTTGGCAGAATGAGGTCTTGAAGTTTGAAGATGTCAGTGATGTCAGCGTTGCAGATGTTTCTCAAGAAGTGCTGGTACAACATGCTTAGTATTCTAATGCCTTCAATGTTCAATTTCATGGGATCGTATATGCATAATGTTCAGACATCAGACACAAATAAAATTAACATGTTTCCACATTCTTGATCAAGCATATTTGTATTGTCACTTTCGTACCCTAATAGAATTTTTTCCTCTAGTAGTATGATAGTCAAAACCGTCCAACATAGTATCAGCAAATTAAAGGCACATGCATGAACATGTCAAACTAGGTGATGAAAACGATAACTACCATCATGTCCATCAACATTCCCAAGAATACGAACAAGTTAGGTCCAAAGAATTGTTTGTAAAATAACATCCCATTTAATGGGTTATTAGAGCAGGTCATAGGAGAAGGAAAAGACATCAAATATGAGTTTCCACGTATTGGCAAATGTCATGTAATTTTGAAGTTTCTATTAATTTTCTGAGAACTAAACTGTGTTTGGAATGGTTGTAACAGAGCTTAAATAAACTAAATGATGCTTTGGCTCCTTTATCTTCTTCCGAGGATTAGACAAATGTGAGGTATCTCCTCACAATATATATTGATAATCAAGCAAAAGAGCCCGTAGGCGTACAGATTCACCCCACCAATTCGAGAGGGTGGGTATCTCTCCCTTCTAGCTACCTTGCTATCCTCTGTTACCCAAAACCAGTCTGAAGAATATCTTCCTCCTATCTCTCCCTCATAACCACTCGACCCTCACTCCCACGATGATCCTTGGGCCCCACTATCCTAACGGTTACTCATTCTCTCTCCTCCCGAGTGCAATTCCTTTCTTACCCCTCCTCTTGTATATATTAACTATTGGGGGCCTAACAACAAACTTGTGCTTTTCTTTCCTTTATTCTTAATTTACAACTTGTAGGTTGCTGAAAATGATGATGATGGTGGTTTTTTGAAATTGTCCGCTACTCAATCATGGGTCTCAGGTGGCAACTCTGCACCAATCAATAAAAAAGCTGGTGATAAGGTGAGACTACTCCAGACTCTTATTTTGTATGAGTTAACAGAAGTCATTTTATGTTTTGTTTCTATGAAAAACCTCCCCAGATATCAAATTAATTGTTCTGGGTTAGTTGCCAGATAAGACTAGTCATTGATGTTTTTGTAGAAGACTGATTTTCTTTAATTCCTATATTTTTTTTAACAGACATTACTCGATGACCGTGAAAGGAGGAGGAAACTTAACTTTCTCAAATATGAAGCCGTATGATACTTGAACTCAATATCTTCGTTGGTTGTTTACGTAAGATGGTATTACTTTTATGTCATCTGAGGTCCTCTTGATATATAATTTGATGCCTGCTCATCAATAATTAAAATGTTCCAACATCACTTTTTTTCCCTCCTTTTTTCATATTCTTTGTAGTTTGTACATTGTATGTGCGGGTGGCAAAAAGGTTAGGTTGGGTTGGATTGGGCCTGCAAATTTATGAAATACAAGGCTGGTGAATGACCAAGGCTAGCACAAAAACATTTTGGCCAGAAAAATGTATGAAACTATGTTCATCTATGAGTTCGATAATTTTTTAAAATTTAAAAATCAATTATATGCTATTTATTAATAATTCATTATGTAATTTATAAATGAATTATACACAAAGAGACCTCAAGCGCAGGATTCAAGGCTCTAGGCAGCTCATCTACAAAAGCCAAGCTAGACATTGTAGTGGGCTTGGGCTTGGGTTCAGGCCTGGAATCTGTTTTCAAAGTCATTGGTGCTTGGTCTTAGTTCTATGCAATCTAGCTGCATTTAAAGCTTTTCTTCTCTTCCTTTTTGCCTTTTTCTTCTATAAATTACTGTTTGCCTACATTACGAAACTACAGAATGGTATATAATGGTTCAAGATGGAAGATGCACCTTTTGATCAATCAAAATCTTGGAAGACGTTCATTAATTCTTTTTTTAACACAGCTCAAGAGGGAACTAATGCTTTTGTCTGTTGGCATTGGAACTGCATGCAGTGGGTATTGCCTGATTGTATTCTCGTTCCAGGTATCTTCTATTTGAAGAAGAAAGGTATTAGCTTGTGTACTACTGTAAAATTTTTTGGTTGCTTTATAAGAAGAAAAAAAATACATAATGTGATTTTTTTTTATCTATTACACTCTCCATTGATGGATACACTATAGGTAGGATTCGAGTTATAACATGAAGTAGTTAGCAACGGTTCTTAGATTCTAGTATCTGTCTTCACTATCATTATTGCCTTTAGAATCATCTCATTTCTTCCAGTGAAACCTTACTTTTTCTTAACATGACCCATGTGATGAGAAAGCTTTGCTTGCTGATGAAAATTTTTATTTGTTTTTGCTGTTCAGGCTGCCATTAGTTATGCAATAGGAGTTCTATTGAGGTTGGTCGATATGAATTTTATGATGCTGTTATTTTGTAACTTCATTTTGACGTGCTGATGATTCACACTCAAGATTTAGGTTTTGATTCCAAAATCTGAAGTTTTCAGACGAGATGACCAGTTTTTAAGACTAAATATTTGGTTAACAAGACTTCCAAAACAACTTCTTGGAGAAAGTTTGTAAGAATCAAAGTGAGCTTTAGTCTAACCAAGTTTTGGCTTCAAAATGTATTTCTAATGCTGTTACCACACAACAAAAATGGGAAGGCTGAGCGCTATATTAGAGGAACCTTTGTTATTTTGTTGTAATTCTGCAATAATAACTGGGATTATTTCATAAATGCAGCTGCTTATACCTCCAGCTCTTATATCAACATGCTGACAAACTATCTAAAGACATGGTTCCAGATATCTTCACTCGGAAAAAGACAAAGAAGTACGAATTAGTGCTGTAGTCGATCTATTTGTCTATAGATGGATATAACCATATATCTTGTTTGTCACAATCAACATTCATTACTTGTGCCAGAATTGGAATAAGAAGTGAGGATATCAATAACTTTTTTGAGAAATCAGTGAAGGGAAGCGTCATTGCTCTTTCATCGCCAAGGCTTGTGATTCCTGCCGCAATATATGCATTGTGGATCCTCTCTCATAAATATCTAGCCAACGACTTCTTCGACTTCCAGGTATCAAAAGGGTATCCATCTTGTTTCGGAAAACACCAAACAATTGTACGCACACTCTTATGCTGTCATGTGGTTTTGTTGTGTTCAGCTCACGCCAGCCATGCTTGGGATGTTCGTCTATAAAGCAGCTGCACTTGTTCAAGTTTACAGGGATAACGAAAATCTGGGATTGGTTTTTCCAGAAAATTGAGACTCGGCATGACTTCACCGTGCTTTTTCACATTAGTTGTAAAAGTAAATGACCGACCTGCCCACTTTATCTTTGAAGCAACTGTTGGTTGTGTCTAAAAAGTCTGGAGTTTTATGCAGTGCAGGTCAGATCATCAACTCACTGTCCTACACTACACAATACCTGCCATGGAGATATTCAGTAATTCAAACAAGAACCATTGAGAATAAGTACGATGCCATTTCACGTTCTCAAAGCTCAAATGTTGGTTGCTTGGTCAAGAGATGATGGCCTCACTATTTGTTTGAATACTTGGGTCGGTAAGGCTTTATCAAAGTCGAGGAAAGAGCATATGTCTTTACCACTGAGCTATGCTAGTATTGTTTGTTGATCAAGATTTCTACGGAGGCTCTTGATATGCCCATTTTTAATGATAAACCCACATTTTAATGTCCCAGATTGTTTTGACATATTATCTTATTTGGAAGGATTTGATTGAAACAAATCAATATTAACGATAAAGTTGAAGATTGACATATATTAATCTTTATATTTAACCTTTATTAGATAAATGAAGTATGAGTGAGGATATTGTTTTATGAAACCTAACAAAATCGATTGCCAAACCTACCAAAATCAGCCAAATCGATTGAGATTGGCAAACCATATCCGAATTGAGCTGAAATTATTGTTTTCTTTTCATCTATATTTAATGAAATTAAACTAATATCACAAATCATATCCAAATAAACATTCATTGTAAGTTGATTTTGGGCTTGCAATAATCATAGCTGTAATTTAGTCCAAATATCATCGATTAAAAAGGTTCAAATTTGAACACTATAACTATAATCATAAAACCGTCAAACTTGAAATAACTATAATCATAAAACCGTCGCATCTTGATAATGAAGACATTTCAAGAAAAAGTTTCTTAAAGGGTGAAAATTTGAGATGGGCACAAAACAAATTTGCACCTACATCAACAAAGGTGGGCAAGAACCATCCAAAAAGTTGCCTATTTTCTTGAGTGTCATTGGATGGATTCCTTGAAAAAGAAAAACCATGGAGAGAACTTTTGAAAGGAGAACCGACTTGGGAGAAAACACAACAAGCCAACTCACTCAATTTGGGAGTTCTTCAAAATTTCAAGGGTATTTCGGTCATTTTCTTTGGGCTAGATGTAAAAATTTTGATTTGTTTGGGAAACTATTTTCCAGAGAATAATGATAGAATTGAGGAAGTTAATTATCTATAAGAAATGATTTGAGAAGAAAACTATGTTATTTGTGTTTTTTTTTTAAGTAACAACAACACAATCTTTTATGTAGTCAGAGATATATATTTTAACCAGATGAACTACGTTCATGTTGGTTAAGAAAACAACATTGTTTATACTAAAAGAAAATGGTCTGATGTGATATTGCATTCAAACAATATAGGTTAAACTATATTTTGAAGTTGGTTTTAATTACACCCCTATATTTAAAAAAATTAATTTTACCTTCAACTCAAAAGTTGTTAAAAAAAATACTCTTCAGTCAAATCTTCTGTTAAAAGGAAAATGAAATGTGACAGTGTTAGTAAGTTGTAAAAAGTGAGGTATATGGAAGCTTCGAAAGGAATATGTTGTTGGGATAAAATTTTGTGGAAGAGTGGGGTTGGTGGAAAGCAGGGGTTGAAAAAAATTGACAAGTGGAGGAAGACGATTTTTCATAATCAAAAGGACGATTTCATAATCCTTGGGTTTTGTTGTCTAATGTTTCTTTGTTAGCTCTAATTTTTGTCAAATGGATCATGGGAATGGAGGCCCCAGATTTTGTTGGCCGCTCGTAATTTGCTTGCACCCTCTTAACCACTTCTCAACCATTTTTTCGATAACAAAGCACATGTCGATTGCAATCTCGCTTTATAAGCTAGGTATAAGATTCTTTTCCTCGTCCTCAGAGCGATAGATCGACCGCATACTTACTTGAGCATCAAATACTTCATTTTCTCTATGCAAGTCATGTAGATAGTTCGACCACCTCTATCTTCAAAATGCATGTTTTGAAAGCACACGAATTAAAATTGTTGAGGGTAAAACCCGAGCAGGACATGTGTCTGCTTCCCAGAAGTGAGATCACGTACGGTCACGTTCCACAACTCGAAGTCGCCGAGTAGGACACGCATTCGGAGGGGATAGAACGATGGACCACGAGTAGTTATGCCGCGTACATAACCGTAGTAGGGGAGGATGCGTATTGTCATAACTAAGAGCGTAATCTACCACTGTGGGGAGGAGTCCTTGAGTCACAGGTTGTGTCACCGCTCTGCGACTATCGAAAGTATGTCCCCCCGATGTTTTCTAGACGACATGTCGTACTCCTGCCCCTCTAACCATCGTCCTTCCTGGTCGTCCACCCAAGGCTATAAAAGGAAGGATCCTCATCCTCACCGACTAAGTGAAAAACCTGTTACTCACACTTAAGATATCTTATTCCTATTTCTTTCCCGATGACTAACTTAATCGTCGTAGTGTTTTAGATGGGACACCGCACTGACGTTGACTAACTTCGGTTTCAGGTTCACTCATTCCCTAGTCGGACTGTTCATCCTAGAGGCAAGTGACCTACAACCGAAATTCGCTGCCAACAAAAATGATCAAACGTTCATGTATAGGATCAAAATAGATATTTTGAAAGCAACCAAACTAAAATGAATAAGTMAAAAAAAATAGGTCAATTTAAACATAATACCTATCATCGATCAAAAGGTTGTGAGTTCGAATCAACTATGAGTTGCGTAAAAAAAAAGTTCAAAACATAAGAGAAAAAAAGAGTATTTAAACTAAAAAGGGAAAGAAAAAATTGGAGCTTTTCAACGAGGACATTTAACAGAGGCTGGTGTGGGTGTTGGACTCCAAAGTCAGGTGTTCGCAGCCTGTAGGTATCTCCTTGTTAACGGCGAGAAGACCATCAATGGCCGCGAGCTGATTCAATTCAATTCCATTTCGATTTCCACTCCCATTTTATTGTAATCAAATCCCATCTCTCTACTTCCCTTTTCCAGCTCCAGATCTTGTATCCATGGCCCCTCGTAAAGCCCGCGAGCGAGAAGTGCTCGAATCCTTCTACCCCGTCGTCGCTCTCGTCTTCATTCTAGTCGCCTGCGTCGAGCTCTGTGACGCCGCCACCGTCGTCGACGTCTACCGTCTCATTCAGTACGACATCTCCGGTGTTCCCTTTGGATCCCGCGCCGCCACACTCAATCACCATGCTGGGTCGCTTCATTTTCCTCCCGGTGCTGATCTCTCTCGCACGGTTGTGATCATTCCTCTTTGTGAACTCAATATCACCTTTGTTAAAGGTGCGCTTCTTGAATTTCTTAGTATATCTCCTGATTCTTTTGAGACTTTGTGCACTTGTCATTCTCTGCTACACTTTTCTTAGCTGGTGGAGTATCATCGATGTGACGGGAGTAGTAAAGGAGTTGTGAACTGCGTTTACTAGTAGTAGATTGTAGCTACTTCATTTGGGTTCTTTTTGAATTCAAAGTTTATTTTTGTGATAATTCTCATGACGTCTGGGCTTCAATTATTATATTATGCGAAATTTGGATGGTTTGATCGCCTTTCTTTTATCAAACAATAGGGTGCTACTTGCAGACTTGCAGAATTATGTTAGTCTAGTTGCTAATCTACTTGAAGAATTAAGCATATGACTGTAAGACTTTGTTCTCTAAGTGCTGAGACACGCTAGTCCCATCAAGAATCTTGCTTGGAAAAAACCGTTGCCGGAGAAACTTCATGTTTACCTACTTTGTAACTTTTTACGTTTCAGAAATCCTCCCTGTTTCTCTCAGTGAGTAGATTGTGTGACCTTCAATATATATATGTATATATATATTTCTATGAGAAGTGTGGGTATTTTTCCCGCTCTTCTTTCTCCTGCTGGTAACTAGGTATTTCTTTGATCGTGCAGAATGCATATCTCAAAAAAAGCRTCTGGGAGGTCTGCTGTTTTTGCTTCCCAAGATATTTGGTTCGGATGACACGAAAAACGATGGTACTAAATGTCCAAATAATGGGGAGGGTACGGTCAAGAATTTACTGGGTGAACTTGAACGATTACTAGTACATGAAAATATACCCGTGAGTGTAGCGAAACAACTTCTAGTATTTCTTCACTTTAAAAGATATTTCAATATTTGTTCAGTTCTCATCTTTCGAATTCTCTATGTTTATAGTTTGTAACCTTTTCCATAATCTTGTTATATTTGGTTGAAATATTGAATTATTTAACTTCTTTTTATACTGAATGCTGCTACGAAAGAAATGTAAACGTTATTTTCCTTTTATATTAAATGCACYTTATCTTTTTTCAGTTTGTGAATTATGATCACCTTCATGTATTCCATTACTTCAATTTATGTTTTCAATTTCTATAATGTGTTTGTGTTTCTGAGAGAGTATCCATGTCGTTCCAGTATCCTGTATATTTTGCTTCAGAAGGTGAAGATATTGGTGCTGTTTTGGCTGATGTCAAGAGGAATGATGCTACTGGTCAGCTTGCAACTGCAACTACTGGCGGGTTAGTTGAGTATACTATGAACTTTGGGTACTTTAGGGAATTTKGTGTGGATAATGGAATTTATATCACAGCGGAGGTTGGAAAGAATTGTTATTTTTGTGATCTAAAAAATATTTATATTTTAATTTTTCATGCTGATTCTGATGATAAGTAATTATGATTGCTAGTCTTCTCCGTACTCATGAATATTTGCAGGTACAAGCTTGTTGTTTCGGCAGCAGAACCAAGGAAACTTGTATCTTCCACGATTACTAATATCCAGGTACCTCATTTCCTTGCCTTAAGATGTGAACAACTAGAGGTGTTATATAAAATTATTTATTTGAATAGATTTAACTTAACAGACAGCTTAATTAAAGCAAGCTAGGATGGACCATCTGCATTATGCTTATAAGCAACATGCTGGAATTCATGTGATCGTCTGGTCATCATATATAATAGCATATTAGAAAGTTTTTCTAAAGGAATGGTGGTTGTCTTGTTGATCTTCTAGTTTTATATAAGGTTGTAACCAGGAAATTTACTGCATATTTGAGTTTGCTGCCCTTCATCGTTGTATGTGTATGTCAGTATGTGCATGTGGTTTTCTTACTACATAAAAATAAAGTATGACTTGTGCTCTGGCCTTGAATGGATCGCCGTTGTTCATGAGACTGCTAATTTACCTTTCCATGTGCTTTCTGGTGACTTCTTTCCTGTAATACATATCAAAATTTTCATTTTCTTAATGTTGACATTGTAAATTGTCACACTATCCAACTTATGGATGGACAATTAAGAAATTTCCTCTTTATGTCTTCAGCCGTAAAAGTTTCAATTGCAAGTGCTAACTTAACCAAGAGTAAAGAGCCATAGACTAAAGGAAGGCTCTTTTCTTTTTTATTTTGTTTTTTTCTTAATAAGAAATTGAGAATTTCATTATCAAGGACTGAAGGAGAGCTAGTTACAAAACTGGTAGCCACTGGTTACACAAAAGAATTCCAGTCGGCATCAAGATTCACAAAGCTGTAATTACAAAAAAGCTTGTCAATGAGACACCAAGAAGATGCAAAAGTATGAACTATTCCCAAAAACCCTCGGTAGAAGCTTCTTTGCCTTTGAAGACTTTGATTCCTTTCAAGCCATATCCTCCAAACAGTGGGCAGCAACTACATTATGCAAAATAACCAAAGCTTCCTTTTTGAAAGGGGAACCTGCAACCAGTTGGAAAGTAGCCTCTGGGCAGCTAGGGAAGCACCAACTCAAACCAAGCTCCTTGAACACTCAGGAACACACATCGGAAGCAAAATCATAGAAGAGAAATAAATGGAATTGAGATTCCAAATCATCTCTGCATAAGATGCACCAGCTAGGCAGCTAGGGGAGATAGCCATATATATTTTTTTTTTTTAACAAGAAACAAACTTTTCAAAATACGAAAAGGTGTGATAGCCATATTTGGCCTCTTAAATTGCAGCCTATCACAAGTATTTAGCTTTTCCTAATAGAGAATCCATTGGAAGAACTTCCCATTTTTATGGAACCTAGAACTCCGTAAACAATGGATAAAAAATCAGCTGGTAGCTAGTTACAATCCTTCGCAAGTTTATCAATGAATGAAGTTCCCACATCTACTCAAACTCGACTAAAAAATAAAAAGTGACTTTTGGAGTCTTGGTACCACATGAGAAAGGTTTAGGGATAATATCTGGGCTGTGCATGTTTGAATAGGGGTGAACTTACAAGTAAATATGGATAGATCAATTTAAATTTCATGCTTGTCCGGTCAATGTGTGTGTGTGCGTTTTTTTCCCTTTCTTTGTAGGTTACTTTGGAATGTGAAGTATAGGAAAATTTCTGGATATAGATAGGGATCAGGATCATGCAATTTATGTCAATGTTTCTCTTTGACTTTTTAGTAGTGAAGTGTTCTATAGTTGCCCTCTTATTGTGCTATTGATTTTTTGGAGATCTTTTAATAATCTTCCGAGTCCCTAGCCTTGTTTTGGGCCCCCTATACTCCTTTCAATCTAATTGGCTGCTTTGTGAAATATATATGTTTCACATGGCATCCATGTCAAAGTTCTCTCTGTTGATTTTGATTCTAAGGATGATTGGAGGAGTCAACATGGAGACAGGTCAAGAGAGAAGTAGTGTGTCAAAAATACAATGGTGTAAATTGTGTATTTTCCATATAATTTACCATTGCCCTTGTTGGTGCATTTGTGTAGCTTGTGTTCTGTTATTGATTTGTCATCCACTTATACTGTGTGTCTAATTATTTTTATCACTGTTTCATCGTTTTTTTTTTACATTGGTAACAGGGGTGGCTGCCTGGACTAAAATCTGATGGAGATGCAAGTCAACTCCCAACAATTGCTATTGTAGCATCATATGATACATTCGGCGCTGCCCCTGTATGTGATTTGTAATGGTGATTTGTTTAACAACACTAACAATGTCAACCATATTTTATCTAGGTGATGTGACTCATCTCTCTGGTTGTAGGAATTATCTGTGGGAAGTGACAGCAATGGAAGCGGAATTGTTGCACTTCTTGAAATTGCAAGGTTATTCTCTCTGCTTTATTCCAACCCTAAGACGAGAGGAAGGTACAATCTACTTTTTGGGCTCACTTCTGGCGGACCTTACAACTATAATGGGACTCACAAGGTTCTMATCTTTTCTATATGTACATACACTCATTATAATTAGTACTTTTATCATTACAATGTATTCCATTTTGTTAAACTTCTTCATTTCAATTAATTGTTTTTTTTTACCATTATTTCTATTTGTTGTCCACTAATGTAAAGTTTCACTTTTCCAGTGGCTTCAAAGCTTCGATCACCGTCTCCGCGAGAGTATTGACTATGCTATTTGCTTAAATAGTATTGGCTCATGGGATGACAAATTATGGCTGCATGTCTCCAAGCCTCCAGAAAATGTCTACATCAAGCAAATCTTTGAAGTAAACAAATTTACTTCTAAAATGTTGATGTCTTAATACTGTGTTATTTTACTGTAATGTGTTGATTGTGATGGCCTGGGCTCTCTGTAGGATTTCTCAAATGTTGCTGAGGATTTGGGATTTAAAGTTGATCTGAAGCACAAGAAGATTAATATTTCAAATCTTCGAGTGAGTTAATACACCTGAAATATTTCTTTTTTTGACAGAATTAAATTTTCACTGAGGAGAATATTAAAGGATTCTATGATTGATAATTGTTGTAGAAAGTAAACATTGTACTAAAATACTAATGAAATAAAAAAATGGAAAAGAGGACAGACAGTTTGAAAGGTTTGTTTTCTCCCTAGAACAAGCCTAATTCCAGCCTACCCGTTACATGCATACATTAGCACACACAAACTTCCTAAAATAACAATGCGAGGGTGTCCCATGCTACCCTTTGGAGAAAATGCTCCCCTTCCTTCTAATAACTCACTTCTTGCCTTGTGATTCCCCCACCTTTCTTTCTAATGGGTGGTTTAGTAAGCCTATCATTCTGCACATTAATGATACAAAACAACTATTTGTAACTGGCAATCTCTGGAGAAAATGTCTCTCCTGCCTTCCCCTACCTGGTATTTGGCTTCCGATTGGTGCAGAACTCTTTAAGAAATCAGACTAGAATTTTGTTCAAGAATAATTTATCAGTAAAATTACTACAGAGGTCTTTTTATAGATTGGTATTACTGTTAGCCATTAACAGTAACTAACAGAAAATGACAAACCACCAAAAATTAAAATAACAGAGTTAGTAATGATAAAGAAACAATTTCATTAATGGTAAAGTAAACAACTAAAATAACAAGTACCTTACATAAATTGGTCCCCTCAAGAAAAACTCATCTTTAAGTTTAGGATTGCTGCTTCATATGCGAATGATACTCTTACTAAGCACGGACTTTAAATTTTTTAAAGTTTTCTTTTTAATCCTTTTCTCCCAGTTTTCATATATAAAATTGTTATTTTTTGTCTTTATTTTATATTGTGCCGTTCAGAATTGTTATTTTTTTCTTTGAGCTTCATGCTTAAGTCACATAGTACTATTTCACTCAATGCTCTTCGGCCTTTGATAAACATTAGGTACTCCTATATTTTGATAAACATTAAGAGATACTTTTCTACATTAGAAAAATTAGAAGTCTTGGAGATATGTAAATCACCAAATTCAAGAACATTTGCATTTAGACATGGTCCAACCTTCTTTCTTCCTCATCTTGTTTTAGATGTGCCAATAGGTTGTCAGTTCTTGCATAGGTGAATCCAATATACATTTCCATCATTACATTTTTTCCTCATGATGTGTGCTATTTAATAATTTTAAAAAAATGATTTTTCTAGTAACCCTTAGCATAGTATACTATTGATGCTTTTATTTTTATGATTATCATAGTCCAGGTGATAAATCCTTTGTATGCTGTAGGTAGCCTGGGAGCACGAACAGTTTTCAAGACTGAGAGTTACGGCTGCTACCCTTTCTGAACTCTCTGCTGCTCCTGAGCTTTTGGAAAGGACTGGAGGCTTAGTGGACAACAGGTTATGTTTTTAAGTAATTGATCAAATTCCATGTTCTGTTTCATGTTTTAATGTGTGCGAGCAGACATTTATATGTGTATGTGTGTGATGTGTGTTCTGACGGGACCTTAACTTCCACCAGATTGTTTTTGAATGAAAGTGCAATTGCCAAGAGTATCAAGCTAGTTGCGGAGAGTCTTGCTGTAAGTTTTATCATGTCTTGCTTAGCCATATTTCTTAAGTGATCACAAATTTTTCGTGTTTCCAACTGCAAGTGTTTGGTTTTGGCYATTCAGAATTCATTTCAAAGATCAGAATGTTTAAATATGACACTTAGCTTTTACCATTATTTATTTTTAATTTCTTTTCTAAAAGAAAGAGTCATAAAGAACTATAAGTTATAATTGGAGAAAGCAAGAATAAATGACATCCATTATTGATCTTAAAATTGCAATTGATTCCGAATGTCCTCTGTATTATTTTATATTGTCTTTTAGAATTCTCTTTTATGTTTTATGTATAATTCCTTGTCTTTTATGCAGAGGCATATTTATAGATATGAAGGAAAGAACATACAAGTATTTGCAGATGATAGTAGTTTGGCAGTCAATCCAACTTATATTCGATCATGGCTGGATCTTTTGTCACGAATGCCTCGAGTTGCTCCATTTCTGTCGAAAGATGACCCCTTCATATTGGCATTAAAAAAGGTTTCATATCATAAATAAAATTGTGGCAGTTGATACCATCTACTTTCATTTAGTTTCCAATACCGTGTTCACCCAAAGACTGATTGGATATCTGATAAAGAAAAAAGAAGATACTGTTCTGAAACATGTATATGTTATAGTGGTTTCTTTTCTGTGAAAATATGTGACCCCTTCATATCGGCATTAGAGAGTTTTATATCATGAAATAAAAGTGTTCCGCTTGCTACTGTTCTACTCCTTTCAGTTTCTTAACCTGAAAATATCGCTCTGAAACATATGTGCTCGAGGTTTTTAATTTTCCACTGCATGCAACATTCTGAATTTTGGAGAACTTCCAGCTCTCTTTTTGAACTAGAAACCTAAATTCGTTAGATGATAAAATCCTGCTGTTTTTATGGAACTGTAACAGTTAGTGCTACTCGATCCATRTCGCTTTAAATTTTTTTGTGGTACACAAGTTTACATACTATTTGTGCCAATGCAATATTTCAGCTGCCAGTAAGGTTGGCTTGGCTGACTCATATGATGAATACTTTGGGCTACTAATTCAAGTTACCTCTCAGCCATTTTCCAATGATATTTTTCTACTATTTTCAGGAACTGGAGGTACATACCCATGATGTGAGCATGCAACATGAGGCATTTGATGGGATGTTCACCTTTTATGATTCTACTGCAGCCAAACTTCACATATACCAGGTACTAACTTGACTCTGTACTTGTACTTACATGTCATAGATCCAGTTTTTGTTCTATAATTGTTTCAGTTTCTCCAATCACACATGCTCTTTTCTGGAGCTTCATTTTTATTATAGGCTTGTACATTATTATTTCCCATATTCATGTCGGCTGATTCAGGATGTGTACCATACATGCGGCTGAAATGGGATGAGGATTCCTTTTATATTGAGGTCTTTGGGTGTTCTTTCTTGACTTGAATCCAGTTCTTTCTTAACAAGCCTTGTGTTTGTTGTTTCAGGTTGCTAGCGTGACCTTCGACTTGCTTTTGCTTTTGGTCTTGGGATCATATTTAGTATTACTCTTCTGTTTTCTTGTAATCACAACTAGGGTATGTTCTATTATTTCCTTTATCATATTTAAGAAACTCTTTCTGATAGTACAAAGTTTACTTAAACTCTAAAGTAGACGTCATTGAAACGAGCAAAAAGGCTTAACGATGTTTCTGTTCCATAGGGTCTCGATGATCTGATCGGTCTATTTAGACGCCCTCCATCCCGAAAAGTCAAAACAGCTTGATGACTGCAGTAGATTTTGATGCTTGGATTTACATCATTCCTGCCCGAATTTTTTGCCATCTAGATTAGACAGACAGGCGTAGGATGGGGTCCAATGTGACAAGGTGTCAAACCAATCATCACAGCTCGAGGAACTTAAGGTTTCATGTGGCGTTCCTTGCAGGTTTTTCTCTTTTCTCTTGACATCGTTTAGTTATCATCTGTGCCATAATAACAAACAGTTGCTGAGAACTCTCTAGGTGCAAAAAGTTTTTGTTTGCTCTCCATATTTAAGGTTTGTGGCTTCCAGTTTTTGACTACGATTTGTTTCCTGAGAATTTGTTGAGTCTATTATTTCTTGCACAGTTGATGTTAGTGGCAATAGATTCAGTTGGAACAGTTACAGTTATCAAAGTGGTTGTCTTTCTCACTACTCTCTCAGAGAATTTGTTGGGTTTCTTTTTTTTCTTTAGCACAGTTTACTGATGTGAACAGTATCCCTTCCCTATGAGCTTCACAGTCATCAGAAACCACTCTAAACTTATCTGTATCAGGTGGATTTGTTTGTGTTCTCCTTTCTTTCTCATCATTAAAATTCTAACTAAAGTTCTCGAAGCGAAAAAAATCGGTTTAAATACTATTTTGGTCTCTGTATTTTCGACTTTGATTCATTTCAATCATGTACTTTTAAATCTCTATTTTTATCTATATACTTTCAACTTTTATTCATTTTAGTTTTGTACTTTCAACACATCCGTTTTGGTTTTGGGTATTTTTAAAAAGTATTTTAGTCCCTATTTGAAGAAATTTTATCATTAATTTCATACACAATCAGAATTCTTTAATACAAATTTATAGTTATATTTTAAAAGATTTGTGAGTAGTGATTGAAAGAAAGATAAAAATGAAAAGTACAATGATCAGAATACTATTTAAACCGATAAAAATTTTTGGTTCTGTTTGTAGTTTTAGTTGCAGGCTTCCATAAAGGACCATGAACCACCAGAGTAATTATTGGTACTAATCATAAGATAATATCAATATTGGATTGACAATATTGATATCCATGAGTGTTTAAGTCAGCATGCGTCCACCTCCGTCCACYTCGACTCATCTCACAAGGCAGCATGATCCTATAATATTTGGCTTCAGGAAATATAAAAATTAATTTATAGGTAGGTGACCTTGACTCATTCTCTCTCAATTAACTCTAGTTCTTTTGGACCAATGAACCACCTGGATTTCTCCTCATGAACATTAGTTGTTATTATCTTTTATTCATTTCATTGTTTTTTTTACGAGAAATGGAACTTTCATTATTTTAAATATAGGTTGATCTATTAGGTATGGGATATGGAGGAAATGGGTTAAAAGTTCAAATCAAAGTGATTACTTACCTAGAAAATTTTGTGAGTTATTTTGACAAGCAAATGTAGAAAGTTAAGTGATTGTCTTATTAGATTAGTCGAGGTGCATGTAAATTAGTTCGAATGTTCATAAATATCTCAAATTAAAATAAAAAAGGACAAAAAGAGTAAACTTTAAGTTACCATTATTCTTCCGAATTGACGTAAGTACGATTTATCATCTCCAAATYGACAAATAACTAAATAGTTAGATTAATGTGTTACATTCTTTTTTTAACGGCTTGACTTATAATATATATCATTTTAGTATCACTTCTATATCATTTTAATATTAAGATCTTGTTTGTTTATCTCGAGAGAATGAGAATGAAACTTTTGATAGTGTTTATTAAAATGTAATAATGTAATTAATTGGACGTATTTCAAATTTGAGATTTATTTTTCTCCAAAAATCTTATTCTCATTCCGTGAGTTCAAACTTTTACTCTCTTGTATGTTAATGAGACCTACCATTTTTATAGGTTAAAAAACACTTGGTCCCTAGCGATTTAGTTCCTTAACTTTAATTTGTAACGATTTAGTTCATTGTACTTTTCAAATTGGTAACAATTTAATCCCTAAACTTTAATAGGTAATAATTTAGTCATTGTAATTTAAAGTTTGTAACGATTTGATCTTTATCGTGAATTTTTTTTAAATTTTATTATATATCGATCGATAAACCAATAAGTGACCAAATATGTTCATAAATTAGCAAGATTAAATTGTTATATGATAAAACTTGACACTTAATTTTTAATAAGATTTTTCACGATAAGGATTAAATTGTTACAAAATTTAAATTACGGGGACTAAATTATTACAAACTAAAGTTTAGGGATTAAATTGTTACTGTAATAAAAGTACAGGGATTAAATCGTTACAAACTAAAGTTTAAGGACCAAATCATTATTATAGTCAAAGTACAAGAACAAAATGTGTTTTTTAATATTTTATTAGTTGTTTCATAGTTTTACTTGTTTATTTTTACTACTAATACATTTTCTTATAATTAAATAAAGGAAATGGTAGTGGGTAGCAAAAAAATTTTAGTCAAATACATTATAGATGTATATCATTTAGGTAAAGTTGTCATTTTAAAATTGGACCTCCGTTTTTTTTAATGCTATATTTTGAAAAACTAAATATAGTTGCTATTTTGCTAATTCTACTAAATGTTTTTGTCATATTTGCAACCGTCCCTAAAAAAATTATAATAGTTGATCTAATTTTATTATAAATTATTACAAATTTCTATTTAATTTATCAATTATTTAATTTGATTACATTATTTATTAGGGGTGAACATCCAACCTCGAAAAACCGTCTTGACCGACCAAAATCGACCGAACCAAGTCGGTTTGGTCGGTTTCAGCTGCAGATCGGTTGGCGTCGATTTTAGCTTTTGTAAAACTAACCAGTCGGTCGGTCGGTGGTTCCAGATGAAGAAAACCGACCAAACCGATCGACTGTTTTTTTTTTCTTTACCATGTCTTCTTTCCTTTTATTCACTATCGACGCAATCTTCGAAGTTTTCTTATTTCTTATTTCTCAACAACGATAATGGCATGCTCGTCGGTCTTCCTCGTTGTCGTAACAGCCCCAATCGATTTGTCAAAAACCGACCGACCGACCGATTATTTAGTCGATCGGTGGAGAAGTAGTAACAATGGTCGGTTTCCATTTATGAAAACCGACCATGCGCCGATCGACGATGATTTTGGCTGGAAAATCGAGCTGACCGACAGATGTTCACTCTATTATTTATTAGTTAATATCAATAAGATTATTGAAATATAATTAAATATTATAACAATAAAATTTTATATTAATGGTTGTTAAATAAAAATTATATTAATCTTAGTTGATATATATTTGTTTCAGTTATTTATTATTTATTAGTATTAAATAAATTATTAAAATAAAAATATTACTATTAATAAAATAGTTATAAAAAAATTGCTGTTATATTTTGTCCAACAAAACCTATTAAGAATGGGATCGATAAAAGTTGAAGCTTCATGGCTTTTAGCGAAAGAAGATCTCTCTTTGTTCCACCACTCCTATAACCCATCAAATTTAATTACAATTTTGTCATATCTTTCCACTTATTCATAATCTCAAAGTCTTAAAAACTATTATTTTAATTAGAAATATTTTCCACTCATCAATCATACTCGAAGTTTTAAAAAAAATTACTAGTGTTTTAATTGAAAATAATAACATAATTAATTAACTAGAAATAGAAGAGAAATATTATAGTATCTTTGATTTTTATTTTGATTCCGGAAATTTTGATAAACATCACTAATAAATTTCTAATTCCATTTCTATAAACAAACATCAAAGAAAAAGAATAACATTATCTCAGCTAAGAGTCATCACGGGCTAACCTACTTAATATTTGGGCAACTAAACCTTTTGTTAGTGATATGAACAGAACGTTGACATGACATTGGTGAGTTGAAAATTTTGAGATGATTAGACAATATTTGTTATTTTTATATTATTTTTACCTTACATGTCATTTTATTTTATTTTATTTTTATTTTTATTTTTATTTTTTGCTCAATCTCCTTTCTCTCCCTTCCCTCCCCTTCTTCGTTGCTATTTTTCTAAAGCAGCCATCGTCAAAGAAAACGATCCAAAACGAAACCCTAATTTTCGAAGAAGAAAGGAAACAGGCAAAATTCAAAATCCTATTTCTCAAAGTCCAACACAAAAAGAAAAAAACCCCTCTTACTCTGTGTGTGTTCTAATTTTGTTATCATGGAAAATAGGGGTGTTCACGGGTCGGGTTAGGAGGGTTTTTTGGACCAACTTGAATTTTCGGGTTAGGCAGATTAGAGAACCGACAAAAACGAGGATGATGACTAACCCAACCCAACTCGACCCTTGTATTTTCGAGTCGGGTCATCAGGTTGAGACGAAAACTTTCGTCACGCCAAGCAAAACACGAAAACAAACATTTCAAACAAAAACAAAGAGGGAGATGAGCCGAACAAAATCCAACCCAACTCTGAAACTTTTATCACACCGCAGCAACCATTGGACGAGGATGGAAAGAAGAGGGGAGAGTAGGGATGAGAGACGGGATAATAGCGAGATGAGGGAATCTCTGCCGCCATTGAAATCAAGGGTTTAAAAAAAAGTGTTCACGAATTATTTCTAGAACCAAAGGTTCGAAAATCTCTACATCAAGCAAAGGTGAGGGATGGGGGAGGTTCAATTCGGATTGAATCGAGAATCGAATCAAATTTTCAGTTCTAGAAAAAACTAACTCAACCCAATCTGAATTTTCGTTCGTCTAGTTTTCTGAACACCCCTAATGGAAAGAAGAAAAAAACGCATAGAGAAAACCCAAAATAAAAGTATCGCACAAATACCGATCAAAAATAGATTTCAATTCAACACTTACAGATCCAAACCCCAAAATCCCCTCTAAAACTACTAAAAACGCCAAAATATTCACCCAAACATAATACTAGGGAGAGGGGGCAAGAAACGAGCGACACCTGAAGCAAACCCTCATTCTCGTCGGTTATAAACAACACATGAACCAAAAACTCTTGATTCAGGTCAATTCGAATTGTTTTGATTTGAATCAGCTCTAATTTCTTCTTCAAAAATTAGGCTTTAGTTTTGGATCGTTTTCTCATCATCTCAAAATTTTCAACTCATCAATGCCGCATCAATTTAATTTTAAGGTCAGGAACTAAACTCGCTTTTTAAAATTTAGGGACTAAATAAAAACCTAACCTCAAATGGACTAAAAGTATATTTCACCCTCGCACCGACCCCAAGGTCCGAATCTAAGAAACATCAAGAATTTTTTATAAGAGAAGGTTCGAACTTGAAACCAATATGATCAAGACATCCTCTTTCGGAGGCGTCAACACCATTGATAAAACATTATCTAAAAACAAAATAGACAAAAATGAAATATACTATAGACATATATTATACTTTCATATATAAAAAAAAAAAGAGGGAGAGATTGAGTCATCGGTTATAAACCAAGCACTTCCACAAGAAATTTGTGTGAATGCCAAATTGGAATGAATCAATGAGTGGAAGCAATAGAGATAAAAGGTAGAGTTTGGATTTATTATAATACCAGAACAGGATTCAAAGTTCGTCCCATCCCACCACATGCCTCTCTCACTCTCTCTCTTTCTTAATATCATCTTATCTTTCATTCATTCAAAGTGAAACAAATATTGGAATAGAGAGACTGACCAACCCTTTTCTTTCACTGTCCTGTGCCTGTGCCTCCTCTAAAACCTTTTTCTCATCCATATCATTCTGTGGCTTTACCTTTGCGTCTGCTGCTGTCTCCAGTTTCCAACAAATAGCAAACCATTGAATCCACATCGTCTCCAAATATGCTATAAGCTTCAATCACCTGAACATAACCGAATCCCATCGAAAGCACCGTCCGCATACTATTGCTTAGCACCGACTCCTGCAACCCAGTTTCTCTCCTACCTTCCATCTTGGAGTTGGCCTCACTTCCTGAAGACCCTGAAAGATTATGGAATCAAGGCGTATAAATTCCATTCAACTGTGATTCAGACCAGACTGCTTGTAATACTAATACTCCCCCATGCACATTCAGATCATTGTTCATAAATCTATGATTTTGGAAGGAAGAAACAACTTGTATTATAAAATACGTTAAATTACAAGTTTTAAGCCTTGAATTTTTAGGGGTTGTATCGAACATTTAATTTTGGGACCATATAGACCTATTAGACACAAAATTTAAAGTCTGAAGACCTAAAGTTCAGAAATCGGTTAGAAATAAGATTCTATGACTTCGTAAAAATATAGATCCATTTCCCATGACAAACCAACCACAAGTAGAACAACACTAAATATGGATTATTAGAATATACGTACTAGCGCCTGAAGAAGATGGTTCTGCACCAGAGGTTGAGTTGTCTCTACGGTTCAATTGCTGCTTTGATGAGTTTTTAGCAAGATATTCAGCTCTCGAAGCTTCCATCACCATCTGCTCAATCTGCCTTTCAGTAAGCTCAAGATCTGAATAATACCGTCCCTCAGCAAGAAGAGCCTGTCAAAGGGCCAAAAGTAAAATAAAATGAAGAGTAATCTCAATTTACAAATCTCCTATAGTCTAAAATTTAACAATCAGGATACTTGCATTATCAATCTGTTGATCTTGCTGTGCTTTCAAAGCCGCCTTCACTTTATCCTTGTCAACATTAGCCTGCAGACAACAACATCAAGTTCCATAAGTCTTCAAGTTCAGAAACAATGACTACTAGGCTGACTGGAATCTTTAACATGCTAAAACTACTCAAGTGAAGATTTCAACTTTTCGAGATTTTAACAACCTCCAATGCCCAACCCTAACTACAATGACACTGAGCACAACAACATGCAATAGCAATTGTTCCTTCTACCAAGTAATATCTGTTGCAATTTTGATGTTAATATTTAGTATCAAATATATATTAACCATACTATGAAAACATTAGTGAAACAGATGCAGATTAGTAAACCAAATATATTATAAAAATAACAATTCGTGCCAGGTGCCAACATGATCATGCCGTTTGAAGAAAGGAAGGATCCTAAAGAATCGTTGTTTCTTTTAGTTATTGAGTATAGCTCAACGGTTAGACATCTTGCTCCTTACCTAGAAGATGAGGGTTCAATCCCCCATCCCCACATTGTTGTACTAAAAAAAAAAAAAAAGACCACTCACTATTAATCTGCGACTCCTCCAGCAATTCCCCTAAACCTGTTTCTTAGAATAATGTCAAAATGATGCTCTCTTTGGATGTGATCCTCTACAAGGTTAAAATTAGATTTTCCTCTCTTCAATTTGGCTAAAGAAAATATCGATGGATAATCCAAACTCGGAATCTCATCAGGAAAGTCCTCTCTTTCCGTAGAAGAAAGTTTGATGGTTTGGCACATTAATGCTTGGAGGACTTGCTCTTGAACTCCTCAAACTCAAAAATATTTTCAAAATACCCAATGTGTAAATGGCTTCTTATGGATTCCCTTTGCCGGGCTATCCCCTTTTTGTGTATCTTCTTTTTTCATTTAATAAAAGTGCAGTTTCTCATCATAAAAAAAAGGGCTTCTTATGGATTCAAGGAAAGGCTTTCTTTCAAGAAGAAACACTATTGCATTCTTTCAGCCACTGATCACTAAGATTATGTATCAATGAAAGCCTCAAATATGTCATGGGCAAAGAAGAAATCTCACGACCGTCCAATTGAGCTCATCCCTCAAGCTTAACAGGATCAGAATTGAAGCCAAAACTAAACATTTCTTCCTACTGATACCATAAAAAGATCTTGTTTTAAGATTCACACAACTCCTCCATCTTAAGGGCAAAAGAAGATGGTGTCATCAACATAATGACAAAGTGAAATTTTTGTCCTTTCCTGTGAAGAAACCTTCCAGGAAATTCTATGCTTTAATTTTCTCCAAAAAAGGGATTGGGTAGCCTTTTGACTTTATTCATTCCTTGTACACGCCACAATCATAAACATATCCTTAAGGCTCATTGGAAGAGTTATTTTAAAACCCATTTGATAGGGTGGGTTTCCGTCTGTTCACCTTTTTGTGATCTATCCATTCCAATGGGAGTTTAACTGTTTCCATAATTTTTTCTTTTAAAACAAACAAAAGAGAAAAAATAACAAAATTATAAACTATACATACCCCTCGAAGACTACTGAAGCCAAGCCCTGCACCAATTGTTAAGCGTCGTGGATCAACAAGAGAGTTGTAATGATTTCCATGATGATAACTCAATCGAATGGGTGGCAGGTCAGTATCATAGTTTCCATGAAAGATGTTAATAGGTTCTGCATTACAATATAGGTAATTAAAAAAGTACAGGATACAGTGACTTTTATTTAATATTAATAACAATAGTAGTAGTAATAATAAACAGTCAGAAGGCCAAAGAGACAAAACGCCCCATGCCTAATACAAAATATAGGTATTAGAAAATTGACACACTATTTTTGAAAAGGTAGCTTAAACCATTCAATAGCAGTAACTATCACCATAAGAATAAGTTGCACCTGTGCCATAGGAAAAAATATGGATTGGTCGATTGTACATCTCACAAAGCGCTTGGATTTCAGCATTATTTCCATACACCTGCAACAGAGTATAAGGAAACCCTCCATCACCAAGCACCAAAATTTGAAGGAAAAATAAATAACAAGTTTTATAGAATCAAAAGAGGATATTAACAATCTAACTACTCCTTACCTTATCTCTTCTTTTCCTCTTGCAATAAGATGTAAACCCTTCAGTTATGAACTGAGAGAAGTGGTCCCTCTCACGCTCCTGAACGGTAAGCTCAATTAAATGAACAGGCAAAACTGGATGCAAAGTAAGTATAATCTTTGCACTAAAGTAGAAAGGTTGAGACAAGATAACCATTTATATGTGCCCATTACTGGGGTCTGTAAGAGAAGAAGTTCCACAAAAGTTCCCCCTACAGAAATGTAGTGAGCTTATTTTTGTCTATCAAGTACCCTTTATTTGATAGTCTTTCATTAATTGTTTGTTTTTCTGTTTTAGTAGTTAGTTAGGTGTAGTTAATAGTTAATTATTTTGCAGGCTACAAAAAATTTGACGAGAAGTTAAAGCCAGCTTTTCTTCATTTGTTCTTTCAATTCTTTTTGTAGGAAAAAGTTAATGAATTGTTCTGGAATAAGCAGGGGTTTCTCTCAACAACACACAGCTCCATCCAATTGTCAGTTACGTGGGACTTTCTCTTATAACAACATGGAAGCTCCATCCAATTGTTATGTGGGGTTCAAAGTTAGAATGGTATAGACCAACCAGTGCATAGCATAGCAAGTTAAAGCACATGTATCCAACCACGAGGTCGAGAGTTCGAATCTCTACCCCCACACGCACATGTTGTACTCGAAAAGTTAGAATTGTATAGAAGAATGCGGTGGTAGCTATTCTTTGGGAAATTGAAGGTAACAAATCAAAACAATTTTAAAGATAAATTAGAAGAGGTGGAGTTTGGGAGCAGACTAGCTTTCTTACATATAGTTTATGTTGTGTGTACCCTTTCTAAACTTGGTCAAATGAGAAATTGTTTCGAAACCAATCTCAATGGGAAGGCCAAGTATCGGTAATTTGTTGCTTCGTAATAAGACCATGCTCGTAAAATGGCTTTGCACTCCCCCCTAGAAGATCTTGCTCTTTAGTGTAGGATCATTGTGACTTTGTGAGCAAGTATGGATCTAATCCTAACCTCTATTCTTTGGAAATTCTCTATTCCTAAGAAGGTTAAAGTTCTCCTCTAGACCCTAGCTAACAGGACTGTAAACACAGCAGATAGACGACTTCAGCGCAGATGTCCAAACTGGGCCCTCTCCCCTTCTGTTTGTGTTCTCTGCAACCAGAATGAAGAGTCCATGGATCACATCTTTCTTCATTTCCATTTTGCTCTTCGTGGGTGGTCTTTCCTTTTCCAAATTTTCGAGTACTCCACTTTCTTGCCTCAGAAAATTGATGAGTGGATGTTTGAAGCTCTCCACGGGTGGCATTTCAAAGGGAAAGCAAGAATTCTATGGAACTGTGCAGCTAGAACCCTTATTTGGAACCTTTGGATGGAAAGAAACAATAGAATTTTTTAGGATAACTCTTCTTCTCTTGAAACTTTTTGTAACACAGTCCACCTACACACCTCTTGGTGGTGTATTAGGCATAGAAAATTCTTTTGTAATTATAGCATCTCGT